CTGAAAATGGCGCTGCCCTCGATAAAACGGTCTATAGTTCACTGACTCCGTCAGTGTACTCTTGAGTGGCCAGTCGGGTGTGGGAAGGTTTTTATGACGATAATAAACCCCGGAGAAGGGGAAAAAGGGGGACAAAGGACAGACACAAATCTCCAAACACAGCTAGGTGACTGGTGCGCGACCTAAAAAATCCACCTGGTGCGGGTATCGAAACCCGAGACCTCTCAATTTCCAGTCGAGCGCTCTAACAAATGAGCTAACCAGGGGCTAGACGTCAGTAGAGCGAACGGGCTTCATCAGCTGCCACGAGTCTAACACCAACAAAGGTGAAACTTGCAGTTTTTAAGGTTATGATTATAATGCAATTAAATGCAAAGGTGCAAGCGAACTGGACAAGAATGACGAAAATAAACCTTGGAGAAGGGAAACAAGAGGGACAAAGGACAAACACAAATCTCCCAACACATCTAGGTGACTGGTGCGCGACCGGAAAAATCCGCCTGGTCCGGGTTTACCCTTGTTGGTGTTAGACTGGTGGCAGCTGATAAAACCCGTTTGCTCTACTGACGCCTAACCCCTGGTTAGCTCCGTTTGTGAAACACTCCGCTGGAAATGGAGAGGTCCCGGGTTTGATACCCGGACCAGGCGGATTTTTTCGGTCACGCACCAGTCACCTAGCTCTGTTTGGATATTCGTGTTTCTCCTTTGTCCCTCTTGTTCCCCTTCTTCAGGGTTTATTTTCGTCATTATTGTGCAGCTCGCTTGCACCTTTGCATCTAATTGCACTATATTCAAGGTTTTTAAATCAGAATTTTCGGATGTTCGAAATCTGTCAACGCGCTACCCAGAGTAGCGAAGTTTACTGCATCAAATGAGTACGCACTGGCAGGCCTTAAACATTATTCAGACAAGTATAAGGGAGTGCGAAATCAAATGTTTTCTGAGTCGACTCAACATTCGTGTAACACTTGCGGCGTTACTCGCCCCGTCTACAAAGCATAATCTGTGCGCTTAACAAAACAGACAGCAATTGATTACATTGGGCGGCTGCCACATGGCTCAATCAGAGACAACTAAGACGGCCTTATATTCATTTTTAGTCATTATTGTGGTCCGCCTGCAACGCCATCAAAAGATTTGTTTATCACCATTTTCGTACATCGTCATTCGTCGTCGTCATTTTCATTTTTCGGTCGTTGTAATTATTTACTGTGGTAGTCATCGTCACATGTTGATGATGTCTGTCGAGGTCGTATGCCCCCCTTCGTCGATTGTCGTTCGTTGTACCGTCAACCGCAGTCGTCATGTGCGGTGGTGATTCGTAGCCATCGTTCGTCGTTCGCCGTCGTCGTGTGTCATCCGTCACTGTCGTCCGTCGTCGCTGTTCGTCTTCGTCGTTCGGCGGTCCTTTGTTTCCTTCAATCGTAGTCGACATTTGTCGTAATGGTCATTTGTAGTCGACGTCGTTTGTCGTCAGCCGTCAGTCGCCGTCCCCACTCGTTGGTTGTTATTTGATTTGGTCACTTGCTGTCGACACAGCTTGTTTTCTGTGCTCACGTTGTGGTATATGGTCGGTCTGCGCTCACTGTCTTTATTGCCATTGAATGACCGTCATCGTTTTTCGCCGTTCGTCCTCAATTGTCGTCATTCGTTATGGTCATTTCTGGTCTTCACTAGATGTCGTTCCTATTGGTCTATATAGAGGGCGTCGCTCTTCGTCGGCGCTCGTAATCGTCGTACGCCGCTCTTCGTCGTTGGTCGTCACCTATTGCCATTATTCGTTGTCCTTCGTAGCCACTGTTAGTCGTTGGATTAGTTGTCATTTTATATCCTCTATCATCGGTAGTCGATTGTATTTCTTTGTAGTTGTCATTTGCTGTGATTGTTTGTAGTCGTCGTCACTGTATGCCGCTCGTCGTCGTTTGTCGTCCACCTTCAATCGTCGTCCTAACTTGACCTCATAATCAATATTGGTTTTTCGTAGCCGTCGTTCGCCGTCTTCGAAAGTCATTCGCCGTCGTTGTTGCCCGTGTTTGTTTTCCGGCGGTCATCTTACGTTGTCTTCATTTATATTAGTCATTAGTAGTCACTGTCGTTCATTGTCACTGAAGTGTTCAAATGCAGTAATAATTTGCCTATGCCATTTGCATTCGGCAGTCTTCCTAGTCCTCGTTTGTCGTCGTCACCTCGACTTTGTGCAAGCTACTTGACTAAATGGTGACCACGCGCCTCGGTTGCTGGCTCGAGCACTGTGGAGTCCGGCCTCGCATGGGTACTGCGGACGACTCGGACGAAATTTTATCTCTTACCCTGTGCGCACGCTACTCGGCAGGGATATTCACAGAGTATACAACAACGTGAGCCACGCGGCTAACCTTGTCATTCCTCGGTGGCTACTAGGGCCGATTTGCTGCTTCGTCCGCTTTTTTCTTCAACGTCGTTTCTTTCTATGAGCCTAGGCGGGGTCAGCGTTGGGCACTTTACACTGGAGCGGGGGTGCCACAAGGTACTGCCCTTGCCCCGCTGCTTTTCACTGAAGCGCTCTACCATTCTCTTGGGACCTCTAGGATGACCCAGATAATTACTTTCTGATATGCACGGATGATGTGGTGGTATGGACCACTCGCTCCTCCCAGAAATGTCAAACAGGGGGCCTGAACATGGTGGTGGAAGCTAGTGCAATTTGATGGGGCTCACTTTCTCATCCGAAACGACGGTTCACCTGTCCATTGCTAACAGTTAGGGCCGCTACAACTCTCCAATAGAATTTCGTCAGACTTACCCTTGCTGGTCAACTCCTGACGGATATGTCTGCACTCCGCGTGCACGGCGTGGACTTGACTACCTCTGGTTCAGCGCCGCCAGGGCTCCGCGCCGCCCGAAAGTCAGGTTTTTGCACGCTGCACCTGTTTCGCCATATCCCTTTACTCTCCCGGGAACGGGGAGGGGAGGAGAGGGGGGGCATTTTCTCTTTGAATCGATGGATGTTCGCCGGATATTCCAGTCCTGTCTTGTTTACCAGGCACAGATTGAGCATCTCACCAAGGCCTAATGGGCCCGATTGCAGCATCGTGATACGGAAAATGTTCCGGTCATTACGTGCCTCCGGTGGTTAAAACCGATCCCTAGGTTTTAAGATGAGGCGAAAGTGAACAGATTAGACTGAATGAGTTATCAACGACGTCAAACCCGTGTCTTGAAGCTTGACGCAGTTCCAGCGGCGGCTGCCTTGGTACACCATATGAATCCTTCCGTGCCACTCGTTCGCCTCGTATTGGTCATCTTCACCCTCCTCGTGTTTTTTTTACACCGTCTCGACGCAGGTTGTCCTTGCCCTACGTCGCGTTGACCACCCTTCCAGTGTGGCGTCGGACTTTCATCGGTTTGTAGCCGAGTGCTCCTGCCCAGTACAGGTCTGCTCGATTCGCCGCTGTAGTGTTTCCGCTCATGCCGATGCAGACGCTGCCTGTCATTCTCAAACCGTAGTCTACCCTCTTCATTTTAAGATGCCGGCCTCATATAGACTGGTCTGGCAATTCACAAGAGGTCACTGCTGCGCACCACACGAGCTCTTATTCCTTCGTGTGGTTTCAACGTCCCTGGTGGTCTTGCCTGCCTTAAAGAGGTTTCGCTTCATGGGTTCATGTGAACGCAAAGATCCCACCGGCTGTCCGCGCCAGTTCGGTTCATATCACGACATCCAACTGCTGTTTCTCTTTCCTCACCCCAGTTCGGGAGGCTGATCTCGAACACTTCCTTCAGGCGTGCCCGGGCCTTCAAGCTTCGTGTCGTCGCCATCTTAGCGGGGTGGGCCTCCATCCTAATCGGCTGTCTCACACCGTTCCCTTCTAAACTCCTTTCATGAAACGGGAATGCACTTTTACCTTTAAGTGTATGTCGTATGGAATACCGACACAATTAAGAAAGAAGTCGTTGTAAGTTATCGCTATCATCGATCGTCTTTGTCTCACGTATGGAGACCTCATTCATAGTCATCGTCACTCAGTGCTGTTGTTCACCTTCGTCGTATCTTGTTCACTGTGGACGGCGTACCACTTATGACGAATGATGACGACTCCTGATATCTAGTGTGCTTCTTCTTAATAGGATAGATCTGTTTTGAAGTAGGCGCTAAAAATAATCTTAGCGATTTTTTTGTAGTAACCTTTCCTTCATGGCGGATATTAGTGCAGGAGTTTGACTACCAGATGGCCAATTATTCACTTGAAAGGCGCCAACAGAATTTAGAGACGGCGTTGGAGATGAGGTATATAAAGCGTGTTCGAAATAAACTTTGCAGGTGAGTTTGAGACCTTGCCTCCTTTTTTACTACCTTCTGTTGTGTTCTCTTTCTGCCCCAGTCTCAGGTTTACAATCATGTCACAATTTTAAAGCATCTTTCTTTCCTTTTCTAGTTTAATATAAGATTGACAGCCTGTCGTCAGAGTAGGTTAGTTCACTCCTCAATTTACAAAGCGCTAAATATTTCTATACTGGTTTTCTCCTCAAGAACCGTAGTAAAAAAGTCCGGGCCTTCGCTAAGTATTACTAATTACTCCCTTATATAAATAATTAACATTAATATAGGTGTATTTTAGATTAGATATTTGTTTTCTAATCAAGCTGTACCCGTTTCAATTGTCAAAAGCATCCCTTCTTCTCCCGACAACCAAATCTTTAAGAACTTATTTGCGCGGTGTGTGGACAATGTGTGAAATTTCCTTTTTTCTTTAGGTGAAAACGAGTATAGGTATATACATACGCGCGAAGGCATGATGATTAATGTCGCCGTGCGCGCCTTGACATTTCGGCAGCCTCTTATGAAACGAGTATGCAGTATGATTACAGAAAAACTTCAAGGGGGATTTAACGCCTACACTTAGTGTTGCAACACCCGAAAGCTGGTCATCTAACTCCATAAATGAATTGGGCTGTGGTGTGATACATTATTAGTCGATATATGCTTCTGAAAGTATTTTTTGCCACGCGCTATTTTCCAGTAACAACGGATACGTCTGCGTTGCGATACATCGCAGGGACTCCCACGTTCTGGAGGTGCAAATGGGTGAGTAGTCATTGTTGTATCGTAACTGCCCAGGCAGCAGAAGACATTGAGATGACGTCAAAGTAATGTCCTAGAGGTTGGGCGACGTCGAAGTTTTTAACAAACTTTTTATCGATAGCATTCCTACGCCCACATGAGAGGCTACGACAACGTCAAACACGCGACGTAGTGGTAACGTCATAAGCTTCACCTCGACTTCGTCAACAGTGATCGACGTGTTGTATGAGAAGTTCTTTGAACGTCGAGCACGAGGCGTCATAACAATGTCCTGAGCAACATTTGACGTCTTGTACATTACTTTACGTCAGTTTTACATTTTCTCCGGGAAGCCATTTCAACGTCGAGCACGAGACGTACAAACAATGTCCTGAGCAAGACATTATTCCACGTCAGTTCTACGTTTTTTCGGGTGATTTCTCAAATGCTGGTCGCGAGACGTCCCAACAATGTATGAGCAATACATTGACGTCATTAGCAATAATACACGTCAGTTCAACGTTTTCTTCGGAAAGTTCTTTGAACGTGGAGCACGAGACGTCCCAAAAATGTCTGAGCGAACACCTTGATCCCACTAAACAGGTGCCTTATAGAGAACAAGGTGCTGTCATATAACTTTTAAGGTTTCTCGTCAATCTCAGCATTTTTGATACTGTGCATGCAATTCACCTTTCAACCTTGCCCCTGAGCTGCAGAAATCTCTTACAATATTATCATTCTAATGATGTTCGTTTTAGCAGGAATTGCTTAAAAAGTCTAGAATTCACGACACAAACCAGGATTTAGATTGGAGTCAGCGGGGCTGTTTAAAGCATTTTTGGCGTATCCAACTTAATATCAGCGTCTTTGAAGCTGTAAGAGAATGATAATAATGCAAGAGATTTCTGCAGCTCAGCCAGGTTGAAGGGTGGACAGCATGCACAGTATCGAAAACCATGTCATTGACGAGAAATCTTAAAAGTGATACGACAAGTCCTTGGGCACTATAGGAAGCTTGTTTTGGGTGACTCCGAATTACACCCAAAACTGTGTAACCATGGAAGTGTCCAAAATTACCGATCACAAGGGAGCTCAAGGAGCACCGTTCCCATGATTCATAGAGTGCGGGCCGGGGCGATTGGGGGATTTAGCAAATGGTCTATTCCGTCCGAATGTGCATGCTTTTGCGAACAACCTTCGAGCAACGAAGCCAGATCCGGTCCACTCCATGGTTCCACGGTGACCGAGGTCGGAACCTTATCAATTGGCATCCCGTTCACTCTTGACGTATGTTCGATGTTTTATGGTCGTTAAATGGGACGTTATTTCAACGTTGACATATCGTTATCAGAGACGCGCTCGGCATTTTATGTCGTGAAATGGGACTTTACGATATGGTTAATATGACGTTCTTAATTAACATCCCGTTCAGTTTAGACCTATACTTGACGTTTTATGGTCGTTAAATGGAACATTGTGTCAATGTTGATATAATGCTATCATTTGACTTCCCGTCCAATTCAGAGGTGCATTCGACTTTCTAAAGTTGTCAAGTGGGACGTTATGTCGACGTAAAATCCACGCTTTTTTTCAGACATTAGCCTTTCCATATTACTTTGAAGGGACATGACTTCGAAGGGTTCAGACTTTCGACGTTTTTTCGACACGTGGTTCCTGACGTCATCGAGCTTCGTTCGACATCCTTTTGACGTGTATGTGCTCCCTGGGTGACAGCTTAAAAACGCAGTGAGGGGCTTCTTAAGTTCAGGCTTCTTGCTTTCTGATTTCTGTCTGCCGATTCCTGATTGGAGAGCAGCGGAGCTATAATGAGATGTTTGCTACATGTCAGAACTTGTCTTTTGTCCTTTCTTAAGTTGTCAATGATAGTATAGCTTTGTATTCAAAGTTCTGTCTTTTTTTGTCTTTTTTTTTTTTTGCCTTGTGGTTGGTTAAAAGAGGCGATAAGGAAAATAGTTTTTTTCTTCAGAAAGTCATTGCACGCGCACAGCTAACAAGCAGCGAGTACTGCATGCCGACATCACAAAAATAGGAATTCAACGACCCGACCGAAGGGTGTCTAGTACCATCTGTTCGCAAACATGTTTTCTGCAAAAAAAAAGTCGTTCAGACTTTCCACTTTCGTGAAGAAGGAAGACCAGCGGAGCTGTACGCGATACACTGTGTGCTTCTTCGTCGTCGTCTGGTTTTCGCGCTTTTTCCTACGATAAATTCCCACCAACGCGCCCAATTGCTCAATCTACTTTTATAGCTGGAAAGGTTACCGCCATCTACGAGTGACGGCGGAAACCACACTGGTTGTGTGCTTGCCGCCGTCGCTTATAGATGGCGGTAGCTGTCCAGGTAGGTTTGTGCCGCCATAAACGGACACGATCCTGGGGAACCTAGCCCTTAAAATCTCCGCTGTAAAAAAAAAAAAATAAAAATAAAGTCTTGATACTAAACAAGTTATTGCTAGCCTTCTTGCAAACTGTGTTTGGTTTTCTCACTTTCCGGGGCGGTGCGATTGCGGGCCGAATAAATTAATGTCATATAACGGGGCAGGAAAAACGTTGAAAAAAGCGGTCAGACGTTGCACCCCGTGGTTCAAAGGAGAGATGAACTGCTATTTGTGTGGCAGATGAGTCTTATTTGAAACATGTCCCGCGAAACTTATTCGGTATCCACTGTAGTTGTTATAAAAACAAACAGACGACAACACTAACGACACAGGGTGCATTTCGCATTGTGGCTGCACATTTGATATGAACGAAATATTATAATAGAATATAAACATTCTTTGTTCTTTTAACATAGTCACTCACTGGGGTTTCCTCTTCGTAAAATAATTTACAATGAACCATCACATTTAGGCTGTTACGAACACACTTGTACCAGGAAAAATATTATTGAGTAAGGTTCGTAATAAAGTATAGAAAGTTGATTGGAAATATTTATGAAAATCTGGTGTCGGTAGAATGCTGGAGCGGAGTGACATTCAGCGATTAGAGACAGGTCATGAGTTTGAGTATATATTACTTGTGCTACTTTTTAAGACATAGCCTTTTAATGTGAGTGAATATAAGCTGCAATTAATGTGTTACGCTTTTTCCCATTGTGTTCACATGTTTTCTACAAGTATTAACTTTGGTGGAATTGCGTAGGTCCTCGTTTGTTCCTAGTGATAACAATGGCGTAATTTTCTAAGTATACATTTCTTTAGGAGTGCTATCTTTAGTGCAGCTGTCTAAGTATAATGATGTTTCAACCGCTCGCGCAATGGCCTTCAAGCGAAGGTTCACAATATTTATGACTGAATAAAATAAGAAAGCGAATCCTCACTAAAGTTGAGTTTACAGCAGGAACTCAGCTGTACTTCCCTAGTTACCGAACGATAGTCATGCTTGAATGACTTGATTGTAGATGCTAGAATAAATACAGGCTTTTTTTTTACGAAAAAACTGGAAAGGCATTAAGAATATTTATTCACTATATAAAAACATCAATTGAGTAAATATTCGGATCAGTTTTTTAATAAGATAAAAATGCGCGCAGCAAAATGCACACGTTATGATCGAACAAACACTAGGATTTTCAGTATTTGCGGCAGATCCCACGAGCTTTGCGCACACGCTTATCAGCATAGGTAGTTAAACATTCAAACGAAGTCATGCGATGATGTTTAGGTAATTTATAACAGCAAAAATAAACAGATATTAATTTAAAGATATTATTTTTATTATTTCGTTCTGTCGATAACTCGAATAAACGGGTGGAAATGTAATCGTTCATATTCTATTGCCTCTGTTAGGCGAACAAAGAGGACATCTGATGTCGAATGATGCCATTGTGTAAACCGCATGTTGATTAATATGAATTCATTTAGGATTAACGGGGCTTCTAATGTTCTCTTGCTTGCAGGGGAGCTGAGTAGGACGGCAAGGGACGCCTGCCTGCCTCCGGCCTTTGATCCGGATTCTCAAGACTTTATCACGCTTCTCGGTACGACTGCAGTTGCCTTTTATTTTGGTACAAGTTCTCACAAACTTAGTTTACAAAGGGTACTCGTATTGAAGCTACCACGGCATGTCCAATCACCGACCCTCGGAACCATCAAGTATATAAAACATTAAACAGGGTGTTTGATTTAGAAAAAAAGAGCAGAACGCCCTAATGCGGCGTGTGCCGGTCACATATACGTTCAAAAGGACAATGTAGGGAACTGATTGTCACAATGAATCAAATAATTACTATACCATATCAATTAACTTTTAGTTATGGAATACAAATAGATAGTTCGAACTAGAAACTTGCTGAGCATCCGAAAAAAAAAACATTAATTAAATAAATGTGAGAATGACATGACGTACGTGAGTTGTGCGGGGGTGCGCTAAAGTTACAACTCGTGCAAATGGCGCAATGCTGGCGGTGCCCGAAAAGGCAGGTGATATCCTCATCATATGCGTTTTCGCAAAACTAAGCTTACCCCTGTGGCACGAGTAGTAACATTAGCTCACCGCGCGCCTCATACGTGCATCAAGCGTTGAAATATTTACTATATACTATTTACTACTTACAAAAAGGCCACGCGGCCGCCAAATTCAACGAACCCATGCACGTCCCGTGAATTTGTAGAATATGGCGGCCGCGTGGCGTTTTTGTTTTGTGGCGTAACGCACTGTTCTAGGCGATTTCAGTCATTAAAAATCATCGGTGTTTAAAAAAACAACCATCGCGGCTTCAAAAATCCGGTTCCAAAAGATGAATACAATAATAAGAGAAGACGACGGCACGATATGAAGATTAAGGTAATCTATACTCGGCAACAACTGTTTCGTGCTACATTGCCAGGGCCACCGTAACGTCCACACACCGCTCAGGCCCCGCGCTGCTGCGAAAGTACCTGAATTTATTTGCGTCTGATTCGCACGCGCTAGGGCAACTACGCATCGTTTCCCCTAAGTCCAGAGTCAGCCAATGGTAGGGGCTGAGCAGATCAATCAGAGAGCGTCAAAAAGGCATCATCATGGTGTTCTTCATGTTTCTGTACGTGTTATATCATCGGTGAAACAATCATAAGCAGAAAAGGATTAGTGACTTACGCTTTTGGCACTGCTTAATTGGTTCCATTACCTGGTAGCGTCGGCGGCGTCTGGAAATAAGCAGAAACGAAGTATAGCTTTGACAGAGTTGGAGCACTGTGGAATCTACGCAAGCTTTGGTGACCTAGCACAAAATAGTTGACGGCGAGAATTGCAGAGATTGAGCACTAGGGATGCTAGGCTAGCGTTGACAATGTAGCACGAAGGCGTTGACGCCAAGTATAGCCAGGGTGGAAATCAACAAACACCGAATGTTGGACTCGGTTGATGGCGCTCCTGAAGATATATTGGGTCGAATGCACAGTAAGGGCATGTGACTCGCTTAGTGGAAGTCGCAAATCATGAAACAACATGAAACAGATTCAATGTTGATATTTTAGAGCACAGCTCCTAGGCGCCCGTTTCCGCGTTTCGTGGCGTCGGCGTTACCGCCCCGCTAAAATTTAACGGGAAATTGAATTCTTGTTGAGGTCACGTGACGTCACTTTTTCCACTACATTTAGCGGGGAAATCGACGTCACATGACTTCGTGTCACGTCGCCCACGAAGGAAGTCATTTCCCCCCTAGATTTAGTGGAAAAATTGACGAAACGTGATATCAATACCAATTCAGTTTTCCCACTAAATTTAGTGGTGAAAACGACGTCACATGACTTCGTGTCACGTCACCCATGAAAAAATTCACTATCTCCACTAGATTTAGCGGTAAAACTGACGTCACGTGACCTCGAAATTAATCTTAATTTGTGTTGAAAACTGAATTGGCGTGCAGGTCACGTGGCGTCACTTTTCCAGCTAAATTTAGCGGGGAAAGTGTGGGAAGAGCGGAGGGTACAGAGGAGGAGGATGAAAGGGTACGCAGGAGGAGAAGGGGAGAGTACGGAGGAGTAACAGGGGAGGGTACCAAGGGGGAGGAGTAGAGAAGGAGGAGGGGAGGGTACGGATGATGAGGTTGGGAGGGTATGGAGGAGGAGCAGGCGAGAAGGGTACGAAGGAGGAGGAGAGGAGGGTACAGAGAAGGAGGAGGGGAAGGTCCGGAGGAGAAGGAGAAGGTAGCGAAGAGGAGAACAAAAGAGGGTAGAGGAGGAGAAGGGGATAAGGTTATGTAGGAGGAGCAGAGGAAGGTATGGAAGAGGATAAGGGAAGGAGGAGGACAAGAGGAGGGGAGAGGAGGCGGAGGGAAGATAACGAGAAGGGGGAGGCTGAGAAGGGATGAGAAGGAGGAGGAAAGGAACAGGAGCAGAGGAGGGGGAGGTAAAAGGAAAGAATGGGAGGTGGAGGAGCAAAGGAGGAGAGGTGCGGATGAGAAGGAGGGGCATACCCTCCCGTCATCCTCAAGAACTGCGCTCTAATTTCGTGTTACAAAGACTTGTATACGTCTTTCATTTTTAGAGCGCAGCTCTCAGGCGCCCGTTTCTGGGTTGGGCGGCGTCGGCGTCGACGTAGGCGTCTTCGTAATCGCGTGCGTTGCATTATGGGACGTCACAGTTTTGCTGCAAATTTAGTGGTTAAACTGAATTGGTGTTGGGGTCGCGTGATGTTGATTTCCCGCTAAATATAGCTGGGAAGCTTAACCCGCTAAATTTAGTGGGAAAGCCTTTCCTCTATATTTAGCGGGGAAATGTTCGCTAAATGGCCCACTGCATTTAGCGGGAAATGTCACGAAAATCTCCCGCTAAATGGGAGGGGAGCAGGAGAGGAAAAGGGTAGGGGGAGGAGGGTCATACCCCTCCTCCTCGTCAAAAGCTGGGCTCTAGTTCGCCATTAGAGAGAATTGTAAACGTAAACGTGTTTTATTTTTTGTTTAAATTTCACGAAGTTTGAATTGCTATGGACAACCATTTAAGTTAAGTTTCTGTACGTCACTCAAAAGAAGTTAGGTTTTTAGTAAGAACAATATAGAGCTGAATTTAAAAATGAATCTCCGCTTCTGGACTGCATAAAAAAAGATGAAATTTCGTGTGAATATGAAGCCAGCGCCAACGATGAAATGCGAACGTTTTAGAATATGAATTTACTTGAATAAAATATAAAATAACGAGAGCAAACGTCCACCTAAGCTGAATATTCGTCGAACCAAGAACCGACATTCTGGTTCCATGGGATATTTATATCAGTGCAAAGCACTTGTCAGCAAGAAAGATAATATTTCTTCTCGCTGGCAAGTTTATTTAACTGAAATGAACGCTAGAAGTGAACAAAATGTAATTTTTTTATTTGACGAATTTTACGCTTTCGGATGGACGTTCGCTGATAGGTTTTGTTCATTTGTTCCACTTTCTGATTCGTGCAGGCTATTAAATTTTCGAGTTTTATATTACCACTGCGATAGCGTTTACTAACACGCCCGTTTTTAATGTGAACCCACACAAAGTCCCAGCTTTCTGCAATGCGTAGTTTATTTATACTGGTTAGAAAACAGGATTATATGTTCCCCATCGGACCGTGTAAGATATTGAGTTGAATTTCTCGTTCTCCATGTACATTTTCCGTCTCCAGAGGGCTCGGCGTCCTCTCATCCTTGCCCGTCGCTCGTGGGGACGGACGGGCTTCGCGCCACGGGCAGGGCCTCGTGGAAACCCGACGGGTGCCGAGACGTGCTCGGCTGTCGCAGGCACAGCCACCTGGAGTTCAGGACCGACGGCTGCGCCTCCCAGCAGCCACCAGCAGCGCAGTCGCTGGTCGCCAGCACGAGTGAGGACGCCCGCTTCGTTTCTGCTTCTGGTTGCTTCACTTCGCTTCAGACTCATTTGTTCAAAGGACGAAACACAAGGCTAGCTTGAGCCAACTATCCTCGGCGTTAACTTTGTTGTGCTGCGTTGTCAAGGCTGTTGTAGTTTCTCCATTGCTGCATTCCGCAGCTGTGCGAGAGTTCATGGCGTCACCTTGCATCTCATTCGCACACGGTCTCATGCCAAGGTCGCACCAGGCGAAGACGCTCACACACGTAGCTTTTAGAGCGTTGGAGCACTGCGGAAAATACTGTTTTCACGTGTCATGTGCATTGGATGTAAGTGGAATTCTATTAATTTGAACCCGAGGGGGACCAGAACTTTGTTTGAATAATGCAAAGTTTGAATTACCGGGAGTTTTCTTCGTAGAAACATATTTGACGGGCCCTGCATGTTAGTTGGATTTATCCGCGAGTTTGAATTAAGAGAGTTTAAATTAACGTGATTCCACTGTATGTAAAGCAACTTACCGTCTGCTGTGAAGAACAATTTGGAATGTGCGAAAGAAATCTGGTGAATGCTCGCCGCCAGCACGTACAGTCTCTGCAGAGCTAAACGCAAATCACGCGAGAGCTTTCCACAGAGAGGGATAGTACGGCGGTTGGTTCTGACGTTATTTGCTCTGACGGCTTTACTTTCTTAGCAGGGACTCAGCATTTGCCCCATACCAAGTTATGATTAAACGGAGCATTAACTCAGGTAAAAGAGTTTATTCCACCATCTTCTAGAGTTCCATGTTTTGGCAGCGAATTGCTCTGTAGTTTTGCAGCAGCCAGAAGTGAATAGATGTATAAATATGTTCGCATCTTTGTGTAATTGGTTGTAACAACCTAGGTTTTATACAAGACGTATAGCAAATTAAAGGTAATGACTCTGCGCAGGGTAATCCATAAATTTTGCCTCCTAGGCTGTAACTTTCTTCTTCAAGGAGGCAATTCAAAGATGTTACATTCGAATTAAAGTTTGGAATCTTCTCTTTCCCAGGAGCACATAATTTTTTACTCTATTACCCACCGGCGGTGATTCACTTCCTCTACCGGTGCACTACTCTCTGCATATTTCCATAGATGCTTGAGTGCTGCTCTTGACGACGCTAACGGTGCATGGCATCGCTAACCTCGTCGTCGGACGCTAACGTTGTACCGTCCCAACGTCCTTTTTTTTTTTTTTTTGAGAAATCAAGTGTGAAGGCCCGACGTCCAAGCTGTAAGGTGATTGAGGCAAAACATCTCGGAAACTGCAGCTCCTCCAGGGCGGCGTTGATCTAGTCAACATCTTCTCTCAATCATCTACAACGGCATGCAGTAGTGTAGCCAGAAAGTTCTGTCGAGGGGGGTTGGGTGGGGGGGGGGGGCGAGGTTGACTGGTGTGTCCACGCCTTTGGATCTAAAGGGGGAAGGGGGGATCAAAATGCATGTATATAATATAGGAGCGGCTGGATTTCCGGGAGAGGGGGGGGGGGGGGGGGGAGTCCTGAAGCCCCAAACGCCTGCCCCCTGACTGAGCGACTGATGCTGAAAGTGCTGTACCGGTAGCGGAAGTGCTTCGCCGCCGGTGGGGGCTATATTGAAAAGTGATGCGCTCGTGGTAAAGAGAAGACTCCAAACTTTTGCTAGAATTTCAACACTGAATAAAATATTTGCAGCCTAGGAGGCAAACCTTATCGATCACAACTCCAGTTACACCGAACAGTTGTTTCAAATTGTATTGTACTGGTCCCATTGCGCCAATGCATTTTAAATCCGTCTGGAAGCTTACTCAAACTCACAAAGACAATTTAGAACCGGTAATATACTTGACGCGATAACGACCGTCAAGGGAATTCATAACCTTATTTGCCCGTCTGTTGATGGATATGTGTTATTGATACAGATGAGGCATTTCTAAATTATAGAACGTGGTCACGTGTGTTTGGTTTTCTTTATAAAATGCCGTGCATCCATGCAAATTAACAGATTTATCTCTTTTATAGCTCATACAGGAAAGGGCTGCTTTTTAAATGTTTTGCATATGAACTATTTCATCGACATTCACATTCCCTTAAAAGTTGAACTGGATAAATCTCGTCCTCATTTTTCGAAGATTCTGTTGCATTTATATTTTTTTCATACGGAATGTAAATCAGCACGAAACTATTAGAGCACGATATGAGAAAAGTAGAAAGCTGCCAAGATAGTGTAAGGAGAGAACGAGCGGGTTGGTATGGGATAATCAAACTTGAAGAAGAAAACGAGAAGGAACGGACAAACACAAGCTTCCAACTGGCAACAACATTTTATAACACCAAGAGTTTGCTCTTGGTGTTATTAAATGTTGGTGTTAATAAATGGTGTTAATAAATGTTAAATTAAACTCTTGGTGTTATTAAATGGTGTTGCCAGTTGTAAGTTTGTGTTTGTCCGCCCCTTCTCGTTTTCTTCCTCAAGTTTAACTGCCAAGACATATGCGGGATTTTCCTTGTGACCGAATAACACATTTACACCACTTACTCGTCAACCCATAAAGATGTTGATATATAGCTCGGTTAAGTTTGATTGGAAGTCTATCAGCTATGCTTGTTTTTTCGGGTTAGCATATGTGTGTGCACTTAGTGCGAAATGTGGCATCATTTCCTGAAGCTATATGGGAACGTTACAGTAATTTGATTGTTTATGTTATTCATAGAAAACAGTATTGTCTTGTTTCTAAGTAGTACTGAGACGAGTTCTTTTTTGTATGTTTTAAAATGCCCGTCGTTCACACTCTGTAAAATGCACTTCTGAAAGAAAAAACATTCCTATGTTGACGCACAGACTGCGTGGTATGCGCTCGCACGAGGAAGGATTTTATCTTTGATTGAGATGAGCACTGAATTAGATCGCACGAAAATCACGATATATTTTCGGCCTCAATGTTTAATGGATGTTGATAGGAAGTACTTCTAACACAAGAAAAGAGAAAAGCAGTAAGCACCCATGTTGTTAGACAGCTGCACAAACCAAGAGAGCTGTCGGCTGTGCCATTTATCTACTGCCTCATCATCTTCGCTTTTCAACTCATCCAATCGCCTTCTAAGCTTGCTGAAGCAGAACTATACTAGACATAGGAAGCAAGGGACTCCACGTTTGCAATTTCCCAAATAACACAGAGTTGGCCAATCATTGGCCAATGGCTGGCAATGGTCCTTTGGCCTGTGGCCGGACAATGACCAGAGATTGGAAGATGACTGGCCTTTCTCTGGCTATTGGCCTATGGCCACTGGCCCTCAGCCATCGGCCAAGCATTGGCCAATGAAGTACCACTCTTTGGCCACTGGCCAAAAGACCACCGCGACTGCTGATGAGGTTCTAACCATAAGGTCTACTTAAGGTTGGTTCACATAGTTTTCATTTAAGTGTGCCCGAATGCGTTACGTGCCCCTGTTTCCTTTTACGACGAATGGCGCATTGGCGCCACCTATCAATTATCCCTAAGACACTTCAGAAGTGCGTTTATATTTCTGAATTTTTGCTGCATAATATTGTACTGGGGGCTTCGCTGAATTTGTCAATGTAATAAACAACCCTTTATAATTGATAGTACCTAAATAAGGTGCCGTAAATGCTGCAGATCATTCAGTCAATTATACGTAGTTCCAGGTTACCTAAAAGGTGACACAGTGAGCCAGTGTATTTCCTCGTCGTAAGCGGTTGCAACTGGTTGCAACATTGCCGATCGCACTCAAATGAAAATTTGTATACTAGTCTTTGGAGTTCGTACTGAATGTGCGCGATCGAATGCCAAATGGTTCGAGGATTTTTATGTATTGCGCCGGGCGATGTGGTACAAATATTAGTCTTACATCTTGTGGCGTTTTTATTGCACCAGATTCTAGTTATTTTGTATAAAAAGTAATGCGCTTAGTTACTACAGGGGTTTATAGTGATCAAAGTTGAGAGCCAAGCACGACCAACTTGAATAGGGGGGAGACCTGTCTATCGCGCGCCCCTCCTATGGGAGAGGAACTGGAGCTCTCTTTGACGTTGCGGCTACGAGGCGGCGCCTAAGCGCCCCCCCCCCCCCCCCCCCCCCCCCCCCATCGTTTTGAATGGAGAAGGCTGCGCGATTCGCGATGCAATACTGAAGCCTGTGATTTTGTCTTACAGACGCCTTTTAAAGCATGACATTATTTAACATTGGTGTAGCTTCTGTGCGCAAAAATTTCCTTTTATTGGACTCACAGAGTAATAAATAGGTATACACATCCTTTTTTTACACTAATTACTAAACAACTTCTATGCATGCTTCTCATAATGTCCAACGCCTTAAATAGCTTTTTCAAAATAGTTTTTTTTTTATGAACTACATTGACCGGTGCTCCTCCATCAGGTTTGATGTAATGTTCGTCAGGAAAGGCTTCGTGAACTTCCTAACGACGAGTGCAGCCAAGGCGGTTCTGTGACCTTGTGAGTCGTTGATTCCAAAGTCAAATAGCAGGTTGCTCGGAATTGCTGGCAGATCCTTTTTAGTAAACGTCAGCAGTGGCTTGCTCAGTGCTACTAACCCCGTCTCGGCAGAATTGGCTGCGCTCTAAAGTGTTCTCTGAACGTTAACGAAGCGGAGGCTGGGATAGCGCGGTACCCCACGGTCCAGGTTGTGTCCTATCGCAACGGTAGTGCTGTTGTGTGGAGGGGACTTAAGCTGATGCAAGCAAATGTCGTAGGTAATGTTGCCTTCAGCCGCCCTCGCGAGGAAACCTCCAATAAGTGCCAGCGTGCTGGTCTGCAGTCCTAGAGCTTGATAACCTACCAAAAACTTTATTTTGCGTTCTTTGCTAGTTTTAACTTTTTATAAACAATAAAATATTTCCTTATCCGGGAGCGCTTGAAGTTCGATTAAGAAGGGTTGCCAAATATTCTTCATATTACGCGGCGAAGCTGCAGGCTGCAGACCTGGCTTTTGCAGCAGTGCACCGATATCGAACTCTGAAACTTATGTGCCGCTCCCTTGTGTAATGCCCGTAAAAAAATTCAAGGTTAATGATGATGATGATGACGACAAGAATTTGGTGCAGAGATGAGGGCGCCTTGGGCATCCCTTCGGTCGTTGGAGCCGCTCAGCTGCCTCACCGAAAAGGGCGAGTCTACTCTGTCTGAAGAGAACTTGAACGTTAAAACGTTCTTCAATCCTTGGTCCAACAAGTGACGTGTGCACAATACAATAGACAACGTTGTGACTGCCATGGCTTCGTGAGTCTCGGACGTCATAAATACGCTGACCGACGGTGCCGTTTTCTTCCAGTAGTTCGCATAGTCGAGGAATGTATTCTTGAGTCAGAATATCGAGAGGTCCATCGGCTCCACCTCGGCTCCTCCGAGGTAGCATTTCTTTCGTTCACCGGGCTCGCCGTCCGTAGCGGATAAAATGATTGTGTCACCATGTATAACTGTTGCAAATAATCTTAAAAATGAGTTGCCTGCAAACAGAAAATGAATTCATTCCTTCTTCGTTTATGCGACGGTGGTGCGGGTGTCACCGCGGGTTTTCTAGTCTGCTTTGAATTGCACTGTTTGTCGATCGGATAAATCTAGAACAGGGAACACCGTTGGAACCGCTGTGGTTTTTAGGTTTTTTTATATTAACATTCTCTTTAGAGGCATCTGTTGTAAAGGCAGCGAGCATTGGACAGTGCCCCTGCTATCACTTGGGCGCCACAAAAAACTCTTTTCACCTTAAAAAAAATTGAAACATTAAAACATGTCTTGACTGCATTTTGCTCTTCGAATACAATATGACGCCACGATGAACAGAACAGCGCACACAAAGACAAAGACAAAGAAAAGGAACATGCACGACACAGAAGCGCTGACTCGCAACTGAATTTATACACAAAAGGAAGAAGAAGAGGACGTTCTACAATATGACGCTATTATTCTTACCGTCCCAGATAACTGAGATGAAAAACAAATATCGGCACTTAACCGCTTTCGTGATTCTTTTCATCCATTCTTCGCGGACGCTCGATGATGGAAATTCGTGTTCGCCCCGTTTTTCCGTGCGAAGTACACAGCGACACACTACAGTGTATCTTTTGCCCGCAGTTCGATTCGAAACTTAAATTTTCGTATCGTAACACACAAATTTCAGCGGCGTAGCCACCTCGCTTTGGTGTTCCCCAAGGATTTCCGGACTGGATCCGGTAGGGAAGGTTGAGGGGGGCTCTGAGCGCCACGACGAGTGTTCGTGAGGAATGCGCTTACTTTTAAGCCGGCGCTGAGACACAGTACAGTAGACAGGTCTCTTCCTTATTTAAGTTGGTCCTGGAGCCAAGATTGCTTGATAAAGGCATTGTGTTAAACCATTGCTTCCGCCCAGTAACCGGAGTTTGAAGCGTGATATTAGCTTTTTTTTTTTCCGAAACAATAAAATAAATTAACCGAAAACAATAAATCGCTTTTAACGTAGCCAGCAACTTTCAGCACCTCTGCAGTTCTTCTCGAAGTGTGTGATGCTTTCGACGGAGAAATTATTGTACTCCATTGTTGGTTGAGTACCGGAAGATTTTCGTGTATCCAGTTGTCATCTAAGAATAGTTTCGCACACTCTGTTGACTGAATGCTTAGGTATGAATAAATATCCCGCTTGAAAGGTTGGTGATCTCTACAGTTTGTCTTCTCCTCCTGTTGCTCTCGTGGAAGATGTTATGTCTTACAAATTAATGGCAACCGGTAAACCCAGGGTTTATTTTCATCATGAATATTTTGTTGTCGCCAAGACACTGTTAATTGATAGCGTTCTTTCCATTACAGTTGGTTCATGACTGTTCATATTGGGTGCAGCTATGGTGTCATTGTACTTTAAGGGACATTGAAATTACAGGAGAATGTAAGACATGTTACCCAGTTTTGATAGGTAATATACAGCTTATGTGGCTCTATTAAATTACAAACCCAAGAGTAACAAGTCATATAGTAGCTACAAACCAAACACAAGTACTAAAGAAACAGGTTAACACAAAACCAGATGAAAATAATGAGCGTGGAACAGAAGGACCAGGACTGAAGATTCGCGACTGACATGTTTTCGTTGTTTCTTTCGATGCAGCGTTCCAGTGCCACGGGGGCTGGCAGGAGAATGGCAAGAACTACCTCATCACGGGCCTGAAGGGCTCCAAGGCAAAGTTCTGCTTCGTGAGTGTCTGAAATCAACTGGTTGCCTCAAAAGCGCAGTCCTTCTGCTGACACATCATACAAAACATACGGTGTTCGCCGCTGAGGCAATGGCGGAAATATCCGTGGACACACGTCATTCATCTTCAAAGCATGTTTGCTTCATACATATCTATGAGTTAAACAAGCAAGTGCAAGTATAAAAACGAGACAGTGCAGTCATACATAAAAGAAAGCAAGCCTGAGAGTGTGCCTGCAGATTATTTCTTGTATGATATATTTTGAATTACGTTCGCGGCTTAAGAATTATGCTGTTAACTGGAGCCAAACAAACATTTATCCCAAGGAGCGAAAATAAGCAGGCGAACTGGCTATGAAATATAATCAGCTAAACGATTTATCCCAGACGTAGTAAATCTACCTCACTGGTAGTTTTTTCACTCTTTGTTCATGACTATAACTGGCAAAGAAGAAACATCCACTCTAAAAAAACACGTTTGCGTTCACTTTGGTGCACAACATCTACAGGGAGCCAATAAATACGGACGACAGGAGGATTCAAGCCAGTGACATGCTCTCATTAGGATTATACCTAAAACGCGTTGTTATCAAAGATAATTAGCACAATGTTTTATATTTTCACTATCTCTGCGCACATCCCATTCTCCGGATCTGATTGTAGTCTGAGCTTCGTCACTAACTGGGATCATTTCGTTGTCTGCAGTGATTGGCTCTCTGGATGTTCGGCCGAAAAGTGAACACGAAGGCATTTTGGTTTTAACCTCATTGTGTAAAGAAGCAGCACTGAAAACATTTTTCCGGGCTCCTGCGAAAAACAGAATCAATTTCGTTAATTGGAGAAAAATGTTGGCGCTATTTTTACCATGTTAAATATGATTTTTGTATTCCCATCTAGTTACACTAAAAATAACGTTTTTGGGGCGGTGAGAAAAACATTTGATTTTATGTAAAAAAATCGAAAACCAAAATTAAAATACTTTTTTCTCACGATGGGATATTGCTTTAAATGTTGGAGAATGCCCAACAACGCTGTCCATTGTAATATCTTGCAGGAATGGAGATCCGAGATTGCGATAAAAGTTCTCATTAGGTCTAATGTATGGGCGACATATTTGTGTGAGAAATTTCTTGTCACTGTTTTCTATCCGTTAAATTTGGTAAAAGGAAGGTTTTGTAGAATACAGGACGTTTGCAATTTTCCCTAAATTACACTCTGACATGCCATAAGTGTATAACTCATTCAGTTTTAGTACCCTCAATACAGTCGCACGCTTCCATACTGACGCTCTCTATGTCAAATCAGAACAAAATAGCAGTAAAGAAACAAATTGGTCATAATTCATGACACCATTCGATTTATGTTGAAAAAGAACAACAGCGATAGCTTTAAGTCTGGCTTCTTCATTTGGGTGTTACTTTTGGGTTCCCTCGTAACCCTGGTACACAATAACATACTGCAGCCCACTATTGGACAGTTCTGAAGCACTCCCAACCTGTGTGTAATCTAAACGGAAGGTTTCACTGTATTTGAGATATCAAAACTACGCACTCTCAACGAGAAAAAAGTCACTTGTAATATTATCAGAATAATTTCAGGTCGACGTTGAAAGAATGGCACTTAAAAATGAAAAAAAAGATATACAAATATAAAGAGTGTCCTAGTGCTGCCCGATAGATGGCGCCAGTGCGCTTGGGTAAAAATCTACGAGCTAACAAAGCACTTTCTAGCCAACTAAAACACAAACGAGGGAACCAGGCTTTACTGTTCAGCTAAACCGCACTAAGTAAGTTAGTTATCACTGTTAAATGTTGTAAGCGTTATGAATTTATTTCCATTCTTACTGAGAGAAATTCATTGTATGAAAAGAGCGCAAGCATGTTTAATTGCTCTTAATTTCTGACGTGAAATATGCGAAACAGTCAAATAACTTTGATTATCTTCAATTTTTATCGCAGTAAAAGAGTAAGTAGGTGTTCACATACAGCGCCGCACCTATGTGATACCATGACAATATTCCAGCGGCGTTAATTTTTGTGGACTTAACTCCGGACTGGAGTGGAATGTAGAATCACCTTGGACGTAAGAGGACACAAGTAAACAGTCATAAATAAATCACAATTAAAACTTTGCCTTTGTTAAACCAACATCGTCCTTCGCACCTTAGTTTCATTTGGGCAGTTTCGAAGAAGGCAGGGCCCTGTACAGCATTAACCATTCTACTGGTGACAAAAACACGACAAACAGTGACATATTCTTGCACAAAGTTCAATGTTGGGCAGACCACGTTACGGGCAATGTTGTATTTCCTTGTTTATAAAACGTGAAGTTATTCTGCATTAAGGAGACTGTCGTGTAAGCTTGAGTACGTGCTCTTTACGCAATTTTACGGTTTCCGCAGTTGAGAGTCTCACCCGGGAATTCTTTTTGGTGAGGGAATCTCGGAGTCCCTGATTGGAAGGGTGAATGTTTTGCAATTGCTTCGCGACTAGTAATTCATACATCAGCCGGAATGTTACGATGTAATTCTTCTCGGTATCGAACGCGGGCGTGTCAACTTTCCCTCAAACTTTTCGGGGCACCAATCACTACCATCTACAGAGGAAGCTGCACCAATCATCAGGCCTGAGAAAACGTTTTCACCAAAAACTGATACTCACTATGGTCGCCGACAGCTTAAGAATAGCAGGGTGTGGCTAATTATGTTTCCACTGCTTACTTCGTGATTGGTTGTTCGGTGCTCTTATCGGCTAATGCCGGAACCTCATTGGCTTCGGAGCTATAGGCCAACTCAACTCGCTCACGTCGCGCCACTACGGTGGCGCTGCTGTCAGTACTGCGCGTGCGCGGACGCTTGATTCCTCCTTAGTTTGGTTTGTGCTCCCGCGCAGCGCGTGGGCAAAGCGGGCTTGTTTGTAAACGCTATGTTGGTGTATAGTAAAAGGCTCGGTACCCTCCGCTATTTCCGTTTCTTGAGTTGCTAGTTACTGCATGCTATCGGGCTACGTGGTCAGAGTGTGGTATTAATGTGAAGGAACGCCCAAACATGCAAGATTCATTACCGCAAAGGGCCCAACCATTGTCGGAACGCAGAAACACAAGGCAAGTCGCACTTTGTCTGTCAGAATGGGCCCTAAATATACATTATCGTAAATTAAAGTGCGCTAAAACCTTTCGCAGTGACTGCATTGTGGTGCCTTTAGAGATTGTAAGAGTAAATTGACTTCCACCAGAAATTAAGCACAACTCGCGCTATCTAGGCGACTGCTAGCCACTGATAAATCCGCCTTGTTCGGGATTCGATACCGAGACTACTCAAAGACTAGTGGAGTGCTCTACCAACTGAGCTGACCAACAGTCAGTAGGATTAAATGGGTGTTAACAGTTGCCATCAGTTTTGATCATAACCACTGCAAGGGTGACCGCGTACCCTTGTCAACGCGGGGGGTGGCAAGGATTTTGCAGTCACCTTGTTACCTACTACCCTCGCTACCGTAAGGGTGATAAGGGTACTGTCTGCCAGCTTTTGCTTGATTCACTTGGTAGAGCTCTCCGCCAGACTTGGAGACGTCCTGAGATAGAATCAAGGACAAGGCTAATTTTTTTCAGCGGCCAGTTAGCAGTTTCATACAGGGTGCGAGTTTCGCTCCATTTTAAGTGGCACTCAGTTTGTTCTTACGTAAATCTTCTGCACCTTAAGGATTTATCCTAACATCATTATGTCAACCCTCTAAGTTCGGTCTTGTGTGTTTCTGTTTCAGTCCGAACCTTAAAGTAATCGGTTCTTGTAAAGTCTAGATACCGCGTGTGAACTCTCGATGTGTCGTGCTCAGGTGTTTTCCGAAGGTGAGAAGATGACGCAGCTGTCCGGTCTTCACGACACGTGTCGGCGGACGGTACTTCCAGGAGTCACCGGGAACCTCACCTTCAACATAAGCGCCGCCGGTGAGTCTCCGGCCGAACACAAGGATATTGGGCCGTCCTCAGTGTTTTCTAAATTTACAATCCTACTGAAAAAAACAACATATGAACCTATTCACCCTAAAACACCATGAGCGCCGACTTTCCCACAGTGCACCTGAGAATGTCAATCGCTGCAATCTGTAGAAAAATATCAGGCGTGACGAGTCTGATAATAAGTTTAGACCTAAGAAAAACTGTCTGCGCTGTGGCACTCAGCATTATGTTCCACCATGCTCAGTGCCAAACCGCAGAGTGCTTTTGAGGGTCTAAACATATTATTAGACGCGTGACTCACTGAGATCTCTCCATAGATTTTTCAGGAATTGACTTTCCCGAGAGTATTGCGGGGAAGTTGGCGCTATTGACATTTCAAACTGTACGAGTCATGTTGCCACGCGCGTCGCCGAGCGAGTGCGTGCGTGGCCGAGTGGGTACCGTGCTTGGCTGTCGTGCTGAGGCCCCGGGTTCGGTTCCTGGGAGCGACGCGTCTTTTATTGATTCTTTCAATTTAGCATTCCCATAAGTTCGAGAACATCGTTTTCTAATCTAAAGTCACTGGATCTGGGAAAGTAGCGCCATTGCCTTCCCACCTCCCCAGCCGGATACAAACAAATACCAACACACAGACGACGAAACCTCTCAAGATGAGGCACATCGCTGTCGGTTGCCATGGTGATCGCAATTTTGGACCCTTTCAAAGCTTCGAAGCTTCGAAAGGGTCGTTAAAACCAGTCGCACCAAGATCGCTATGGAGCACCATCGTACTGAAGGCGTTCCTCGGCCAATAGGAGTGTCTTCGGCACTGTGCACTCAATAAACGTATCACTCATGCTTGTTTCTTCGGATATCTTCCAATTATGTTGCTCTTGTAGTGTGTTTTAGGGCAGTAACATTATTTTACAATACCCCCAAGAACCGTCGCCGCGTGTAATGCCGTACATCTTCGTACCGCCACCACACACAAAAGTCAGTGCTTGGTGGCTTTGAAAATAATTTTACTGTCTTGAAATACGCAAGAACAGCAACATAATTGTTAGTGATCTGGGTAATTAAGCATAAGTGATAAGTTTATTGCATGCACAGCGCCAAAGACGCTCATATTGACCTAGGAACGCTACCAGTACAATGATGCTCCATAGCGATCTTGGTGCGACTGGTTTTAATGACCCTTTCGAAGCTTCGAAGCTTTGAAAGGGTCCAAATGGCGATCACCATGGCAACCAACAGTGATGAGCCAATCTTATCGAGAGGTTTTATCGTCTATGTGTTGGTATGTGTTTGTGCGCAGCTAGCAGGTGGGAAGGCAGTGGCGCTATTTTCTTAGATCCAGTGACTTTAGTCTAATCGAGGTACGAATGTTCTACGTGCCGAACGTTCTACGCCGAATGTTCCAGAAGCCCACATGTGTAAATAAGGGGCTCCGCGTGGTGAGCCGGGGGCAGTATCTCCCCAACGTTCGATCATGCTGTTTAGCCGCCGTCAGCGCCTGCGAAGATATCATTTTTCTATTTCTTTTCGGCACAAGTTCGCCCCATTAAACATTTATTTTTGTTCAGTTTTTGTCACCTCATTAGTTGTCATTTGCGGCAATATTCCATATTACCAAACGAGAGACCCATATGAACAAAATTCATTGTCTGTTTTTGAAGCACGCCTCGTCTGTTTATTTTGAATATCGCTAATTGGATAATTATAAGAAGAGGTGGAAGAAAACAATGTCAATTCAGTGATATCTGAGAAAGGAAGTATTGTAGACAACCATAGCCAGACATCAAATGAACCCTTGCTTTTTTTTAATTAAAAAAAGTGCATTCGATACGGCATAGGGTGAAATGTGTCGTATGGAATCGTATGGTGCATTTTGTTCAATAGGGATAGATGTCTTATGAGCATTCATGGTACATCTGTGCCCACTGGGGTCTTCTTGTGTCATCCAACCGTCGCGTTGCAAAAGAAAAGACGACGTTATCGTCAAATTGTCTATAGTGTGAAATGGTTGAAAAACGAGGAAGTGTGCGTTACCCGTTATGATGCAGAGCAGTGTTCTGCGAAGAACCCGTTCTGCTGACTCAAAGTTTTGTTCCACGATTCCACACCAGTCGGTTTTTGACTGAGACCTGCGCTCTACAAGAGTGATTTGTTGTGGGTACTACTATGATCACTTACTGACAGAATGCGAAGGGCAGGGAGGTCTTTCAGTAGTCCTGATTCTAGCGCGAGATCCCTAGCTTCGATAATACATACGCGTCTCGCGAGCTTCAAGGGTGCACGCGCAGCCAAAGCGTGACGGAAAGGAACGAGCGCGTGCTGGAGGTCAAGTATCCAAAGGAAACACCGGGTCATTTTATTCTTTTAGCGACTATACGTAGCTTGCATATGTGACGTCATTCGCGGCCACTCCAGCATTTTATGCGCATCGAGCTTGCGGTCCGCCGTGTTAGTTTCACACATCACACATTCTAGTTTGACAACAAAAAAAAAACAGCGAATAGAAATAACCGTCAGTACCCAGCAATGTCGAAACTTGCAAGCTGCGTATAGAACTGCGTAACGCGTGTTATGTCGCCTTCGATATGGTCGTATACCGCACCAGCAAAATTGCACCTTACAAAATGTCGTTATTTCAAGAGACCATAAAGTCAAATACATCTTTGTTTTAAAAATAAGGTGGTTTCGAATGCATTGGGTTCCTAGCATGACTCTCCATATTTTAGAACTCCATGACTCATACTTCTGTGCCTTCAAATAAATTTTCTAAACCGCTCAATTTACACCACCCTGACAGAAGTCCTCCGCACGCGTCACCACAGTCAGATGGATGTAGGCCTGAGATTGGGCACAAGTGCTGTGTCAGTGTTTGGCTGGGGCTCGTGTCCAATCAGGGCGTCGAAGGTTGGACTCGGGCCCAACAGCCGAGTTAGCGAGATCCGACTCTGATGACGTGTTATATAGAGATGCGGAGGCCTTCTGTCTAGGTGGTGTTCGCGCAACACGATTCCCGCGGTTGGCTATAGTGCGCTGCGGTCTGTGAACTAGAAAAAGGGACGACGATGCCGCGCTCGCAGACAAGTTTTAACCCTCGTTCAGCGACCTCGCGCCGATGGAACGGGAGTGGCTCCTCAGGACGCGGAACTCTGGTTTGGCGCTTCACGACGGCATCCCACACTTGCCACCGACACCTCGGTCACCGCCTCAAAACGGGCGACTTTCCCGACCCTCCGCCCGACTCGCCGACGACACCGAAACGCCAAAGCGCGTCATTCGATTGAATAAACTTTTTTCTAGCTAAGCGATCACAATTTGTTTCTGTTAATGGCAACAGCTCGCACTCCTCTCACGTGACTTCCGGTGCCCCCCCCAGGTTCAGTCCACTTAAATGAGTAAAAAGTTTTAGATGAAAAACTTAGTATTCCTACATACGGCGGCCATGTGCTAACCAAAGGTGTCTAATTGACGCAACAGTCGACTAATGTCAGCAGTGCTTTCCGTCTCACAGGTGGAGGTCGGCAATAAAAACACCGACTACCGCATTTATCGGTGTCAGCTTCGGTGATGGGATTACTTTTGTCGGTGGCTTGTTTTGGATGTTTGCCTCCTTGAGGCGCTTAACCCAGCATAGGATCGTAGGGAGCACGCAGGTTGCCGCCGAAACTCCACCCGAAAACGTCGGTGGATCTCTTTCGTCTTCTAACGTTTGCTGTACCCGATTGCAATTTTCATTTGCTTGTTAGGAGCTAATCACACCATGAAGTTTACTTGCACTCCAAAACGGCACGGATGAAAGTTGCAGAGTATGAAAGAGATGCAGTAACAACCAGAGAGTGCGACGCAGACTACGACACGTTGCCAAAAGCGGTTGTCGAAAAAAATAACTACAACAAGACAACATATATGTCTTCATGATACTAATCCCTGGAGAAGATGAACAAGGGGGAGAAAGGAGAAACAGAAGTGACAAAGTTTCCCAGCTTTTACAATCGTCTCGGGCATTCCACATCATGATGAACTTCCACCAGCTCGCCTGCGCGCTCACTGTTTTCTCACAGCTATCGTCATTCTTGTCCAGATCCTTTCGCTTGCATCTTTGCATTAGTTGTATCATCAACATATGTCTTGTTTTGGTTTTATCTTCATTTTCCATGTTTTTGGATAGAATAAAATAGTAATGCGCTGACAATCTTTACATATAAAGAGTGCATCATTTCTTGATCAGAAGCGTTGTCGGCTAATGCCGATGTTCTAGTGAAGCACCCGTCGTGGGCGCCTGCGATCTGGCGTGCTGCCATCTGGCGGCTGTTGCGCCAATCAGACGCGATTCATTATTACACGGCTGAGAAAAGGTAGAAAGTTGAGGTTTCTTAACTTCCAACGTTTCTCGGGTAAAAGTTTTATTCCCTTAATACAAGTTTTTCGGACAGGTCTGTGTAAAATGTTAGCTCTATACGTTCAGAAACCGATTTATGCAATCCCTTCGAACGGTCATCCATCCCTTTGACTGATCCTGTACAATCGTGTGTGCCTCAGTTTGCCAAATCTTTAAGCAGAAGGCGTTAAAGCGTAGCCGCCTTTTATCTGCGAGGGCGATGAACTATTATCCGCATTCCCGGTTATTTCAAACTTATGTTGACCACACTGTTCTACTGGCGCTTTTCACACATGGTCGCCGTCTCTCCAGTCACTGCTGTGCATGCTTGAATATGATATGCCAGTTCTGTCCTGACTGAGGTACGAGAAACATTTTCTGCGCCACTTGCTGTCTGCGCAAGTGGGGGAGCCCTAGCAGGTGTTTGGTGAGTGGCGTCACCACGGACCCCCAAGCCATGCGGGTTCGCCAGCCCAAGTCTGGCTGTGTGTGGCTTTCCCGTGTCTGGGGAAAATGGCATCCTGGTGGTTCAGCCGAGTCCGGGGTAGGTTTGGACCCTTCGGAGTCCCCCGGGCGAGGCAATACACAACTTCGGCCCCCGCTTCTCATAGACGGGAGT